TCTCGAACGTGATCATGCTTAGTATTCAGCCACATGATGATGTACTATAGAACGGTGTCATGAATTGAGAAGGTTACCTGAGTCATACATGAACATGAACACTTCTCTCCGCGACGACGGTCGCACACCTGATCGGACGCGAAGCGATGGGGGCGTTGAAAGAATGCCCGAGGGAGCACTTGACTAGCCGTGAGGTCGCGAGTCTATGAGGGTCTGCCATCATCTTGCATGGTGCAGACATCTCGTGCTCTTCGCGACGCGCAGGTTCTCGAGTCAGGACCACTTGAAACCTCTCCGCGATCTCGTTCTCGGCGGTCGCGCCAGCCGCAGCCATGAGCTTCGCGCACGGAGATACGCGTGGGGACCGGCAGAACAGCGCACTCAGCCGGCACCCTCTTGAGACCAGGCATGCGCCGGGTCCTGCGTCTATTGTGCCCGCGTCGACCTCTACGCAGTCGTCTTCTCATCGGCTCGGTCGCGCTGGCTCTGCGCGGTCTGGCATTGGCGTCGAGTGCTTGAGGAGCAGACGTCCGAGCTCGTCGTGGATCTGCCTCGCAGGCAGGTGCATTGGAGCCGACGCACGGTGGTGGAGGATGGCATCAGCATATCGTTCCCCATTGCGGCGGTGGGCGAGCCGGCCAAGTAGTGTCGAGCTTGCATCATTCAGGACGACGGCGAGCCATTAACGAAATGCTCGCCGACCGCCGTCTCGGAGGTCGGGTACCGGAAGGGACAGCCTGTCCATTGGGGTCAAGCTGCGTCGCGCGTCAGCCAGCACCAAAGTCGTCACTCGCGTGCATAGAGCGAGTACTCACAGTGGGAGGTCAGATGCGCAGTGTGAACGTTGAAGCCAGCGCCGCGTGCAGCAGAAGCTCCCCGCACGGACCGATAAGCATCCTCGGATATGTGACTGCGACTCGTGGGCCCTGAGTTGTCGCGTCGTGAGTGCTGAGCCGACACGGTCGCTGCATGATGTATGACTGATATCTGTGCGCAAACACCGGCCTTGAACGGGTAGAGGGAGAGCGCGATGCTAGGGCGAACGCGGTGTGTGGCCGTGGAGCTTTGGGGGTTCAAACATGGTCAGATGAGGAGAATGCGACGCTAGCACTTACGAGAGAGATACTTTTCGCATTTACGACTTCTTTCCGCG